ATTTTTACACTCAGATTGCCAAGCTTGCCAGTTTGGCATTCAATTATGCTCAGACACCTCAACGTTTAGCCAGCCCTGGTGGTCTAGTGGTTAAGATTCGGTGCTCTCACCACCACGGCCTGAGTTTGTTTCCTGGTCAGGGAACTGTACCACCCATCCGTCGGTTGTCACACTGTGTTGCTGTGATGCATGAAAGCTATGCCACTGGTATTGCAAATGCCAGCAGGCTCACCCATGGTGGACAGGTTTCAGTGGAGCTTCCAGACTAAGACAGACTAGGAAGAAAAACCTGGCCACTCACTTCTGAAAAAATTGGCCATGAAAACCCTTTGAATAGCAGCAGAGCATTGTCTGATGTAGTGCTGGAAGGTGAGAGGATGGCGTAAAAAGACAGGGCAGGGCTCCACTCTGTTCTACACAGGTCACTAGGAATCAACTCAGTGGCAATAACAACAACGAACCGTATTGTTTATTTAGCCATCTGCTCCATCCTCCTTTTTAAATAGCTTTTTCACTCTGTAAATGCTAATAAGGATATTTTAATATTAACTTTTTTCTTTCACAGTATTTCCTTAAAATCTATTTTCCAAAATGGAATTACTGGATCAATACACATGTATAACTTGAGAGCTCTTAATACATACAGGTAAACTGCTTTTAAGAAAACAAAGTGGACTAAGAGGGAGGAACACATATGCAAAGCGAAGATGGACAATGTTTAGTGTATCCTATGAACAAACAGTTCAGTACTGCTGAGAAATAAAGGGGAAAAGAGAAGCGGGAGAAAGGAAGGAAATGAAACTGGATAGATACGCCTGAATCAGAATGAGGCAGGTCTTGTGCACCATGAGGAGTTTAGATTTTACATTGGATAATGAAAGAACTTTGAGAAGGGGAAGAAGAACATTATCATTATTTGCCTGCTTGAAAATGGAAGTAGAAAAATTAGGAAGGCTGGTTAGGAGACCAGGAGAGAGATGCTGAGCGCCTGAACCAGAGCAGTGTGGGGTAGACGAGAGCAGGACTCACAGGGAAGAGATATCCAAGAGGCAGATTCTGATGAATGGTTCTGTATGGTGTGGCTGAGAAGGTGGGGTGGAGTGCGTAAAGGACGGCGAAAAAATTGTCATCACTCTCAGGATTTATTTAAGACACTTATACTATAATTGTCTGCTTACTCGTCCATTTTCTCCATTAGAATGTAAATTCTCTCAAGGCAGGGCCCCATCTTATTCTCCATTTTATCTCCCATGCCTGTCACAGTGCTTAGTAAGCTGCTGTTACTCAGTAAATTGTTAAATGAAATAAATGAGTGGATAATGTCATTTGCTAGGAGAGAAAATAAAAGAGAAGGAACAGGTTTGGATTGAAAAAAGTGAGTATAATTTTGAGCCATTTCAACCTCTAGCACAACACTTAGCAGATGGCAATCTTATTATAAAGAATTATTGAATAAACAAAAGAAGAAATAAATGCATGTAGGCTATTTTCTTTCTTTCTATCACCTATCTATCTATCTATCTATCTACCTATCTTTCTGTCTGTCTATTTTTGGAGATGATGTGTTAGGATTTAAAAGGTTGAATCTTGAGCTGCTGGCAAAATACTAACCAAAGATTCAATATCTGGTAGTGAGCCTAGCCAAGCTGACAGGCACTCACTGAAGTAGGAATGTATTTTTATATGTCAAAGTTCATAAACATAATGTTCTAATTTTTAATTTTGAAATATGTTATTTCAACACTGAGTGTCAATATCTTAAGATGTCCCTTCAAAATTATCCACAGAAACAGTGACAGAGTCAACTTAAATTCAATGTATAACCATTTCCATAATCTATGTTTTGCTCTTTGGCATAGATACTCATTTTCTTGGCAATGTTCAATTTTTACTTTATCTTGATTTAAGACTTAGAAATATAATGTGTCGTTTTATGTACTTTTTGCTACAAGAAAATCATACCATATACTCCATATATTTCAGAGGCTCCCGGACATGTTAACAAAGGCTAAATTGACATTACCAAGAAAATCGTACTGAGGAAAATATTGTGAATATAAATATACTTGCACATTCTCTTTATTCTTTATGCAGCTCATAGCTGCACAAGACCCATCAGTGTCCTTTTGTATTATCCTTCAAGCATCCCCAGTGCACAAAAGACCTGCATCTGGATGTAAATATATCAGGAGAGCTCCTGGGAGAATTTCTGGCCAGCAGGAATGCACGCAGGGAGAGGGGGTGGCGCGGGGCTTATGCAGCAGCTGTCCCAAAGAAGGGAACTGGAAGGGGATGCAAATCCTTTCTCTCCCAAGTTGTTGGCCTCAATTCAGGGAAGCAATTTGCTTCTGAAGGATTAACCCCCTTCCCCCAGAACTATCTAATCTTTCTATGTACAGATGCCACCAATATCTTTGTAGGTCAATTAATTCTACTGAGGACATTATTTACATAGCAAAGATAATTTAAAGAAATTGGATAAAGAAAATAGAGAAATATACATAAGAATTCAATTAGATGATTTGTTCCTTTAAAAATGCTGCTGACAAAAATAAAAAGCTACCCCCTCAAAAACAACTCACTGAATATATATAAATGTTAAATCAAATGTGCATAAACTATATACACAGGATTGAGGATCTTATTGACTCAGGTTTTTGGGGCAAGAGCAAAAAAAGAAACATTCTGATATGACACACATAATACAAGCTGTCTCTGTCTCAAAATAACTGTCTTTCTTCATTTTCCCTACTCTCCAGAAGGCTGCTATAGGAGCTTCATGGGGGAAAAAACCTGGATGTGGGGAAAAAAACAACTACTGCTTAAGAAGAAGAGAATGGGAAGAATCAAAGGCAAAAACAGTCTGAAGTTGTCTGCCAGTGAGAACTGCTGGGCAGGGCCAGTCTACCGATGCTGGGTGTTCTTTTGACTCTAAGTAGCTGTTTCTACACTCCCTCAGTTTCCTCCTTCAGTTTTCCTAGGATCTGACCAGACCCTAATCCTTTTTTTTTTTTAGCTTAGTCAAAAAGCATGCTCATTCACAAAGGCTAAAATGGGATGGGAAACCAGTCATTCAGAATCAATGACTGTAGTGATATTTATATTACCTAATACTGATATTTTTTATTTTAAAAAAGTAAGATTGGGGAGCTGGCCCAGTGGTGCAGTGGTTAAGTTTGCACGTTCTGCATCGGTGGCCCAGGGTTCGCTGGTTTGGATCCCAGGTGCAGATCTATGCACTGCTTGGCACACCATGCTGTGGCAGGTGTCCGGCATATAAAGTAGAGGAAGATGGGCACGGATGTCAGCTCAGGGCCAGTCTTCCTCAGCAAAAAGAGGAGGATTGGCAGCAGATGTTAGCTCAGGGCCAATCTTCCTCAAAAAAAAAAAAAAGTAAGATTGGGTCACCATCCATCTTCTATATTTTATTACATGTGAGTAATGGCCAAGTTCAAAGCTGAATTTCCTCTGCTCATCCAGCTGGAGTCTCCCTAGGTAGGATGGGGAAAGAGGAGTCAGGTCTTAAGAAAACTGATCTGACACTGGAGATCTGACATGAGAGAGGAACAGAAGGAATTCTGCCATGGAAAAAGGGGCGTACAGGCTCCAGAGAAAGGGCTGGTAATTGGGACTGGGCACCCCCTTCCTCTTCCGCCTGGCTCAGTCCTCCTCAGTCCTCTCCCCTCTCCCTCAGCTCTCTCCATCCTTTTTCCAGCTCTCTTCTTTCCCTCCAACCCCCCAACTACAATTCTAAGTTATCTTCATCAGTTAATTCTAGGAGAGACTAGGGCCCAAACTGGCTCTGAGGGAAATACAAAAGATTAATGGAAATAAAAAAAGGTGTCTAGCCTCAGTAATATTCTGACAACAGGGCATTAAAACACGGATACTTTGAAAAGGTCTTCAATAGGGGTGCAGAGGAGTATGTAACCAGACTGCTTTTCTAAACATCTGCACATACACATCTGTATGACTCTGAATTTTAAATGTGGCATAGCCTGTTCAAGATTTAAATGACCGAGATTTCAAAAAATTATTATAATAACAAAATTACTGGTATTTTGGTATTTAAAAATAGCAGAGAATACTGGATAACCAAAACGGACTTTATAATTGCTAAAGTAAGTAAATTACTCTTTTTAATGGCTAGTGTATATTATACTGCAACTTAAAAAGTTTTTATATGTGATATGAAAGCTATGTCATCCTGGAATATTACACTTAAGCCAGTGATGCTTCACTCTTAAGTGTACATCAAAAATATCCCCACCCACAATGATTCTGCGGGCTTGGGCCCAGGCATCTATATTTTTAAAAGTTTCCTAAGTGATTCAGATGCACACACTTCTGGTTAAGAGTGACTGTCTTGGAGGACGTTAAATATTATTACACTCCACTCCTAATGTACTCCACTTAGTTACAGCAAAATATTACAATTTCACACGCAGAGCTACTTTGCTTACAAATCCATTACTAATTTCATCATCTCCTTGGGTTAGTTTTTATTTGCTGAGTACCACAGCAGCACTTAAAAAAACATTTAAACTTTCCTTCTCACACAGCCAGGAAAAGTTATTTAAAACTAAACACTTCAAATGAGAGTTTAAAAGGTAATACATTTAGAGGAGGGCTGGGAACGAGGTGTTTACTTTGAAAAGTGAAGCTACCAATGAACAGCATGGAATAAGGAATAGGAAGGAGTGAAGCCAGACGACCATCACACTCTTCCTGAAACACCTCCTCATGGCATGGCTTCCTTATGTTATTTACGTTGATGACAACTCACCACATACACTCATGTCCAAATGGAAAGAAAAGTATTCCCTCAAGACATAATCCATTTTTACATCAAGTATTTTGGTATAATCTATGTAAGTGTGACTCCCACTAATATTAAAAATCAAGAGCTGATTGTACTATGTGGATTCCATGGGCCAGTTTCTTAACCTCAAATGATTTCCTATCTATGTATTATGAAAAAGTAAAGTTTATTAACATACCTTGGGTCTAGAAGACTCCTCAAAAATTTGAAAAGCAAAACTTGGTTCTGAACAGAAAAACAATAGAAAATACAATTAAATATTAAAACAAATTCTTCAAGTTATGCCATGGTAATGAATGACTCTAGAATAGTCCTTTAAATTGCACACATGCATATGATTATTTCCATTAAGCCCTCTGGACTGATTTAAGAAATTCTAAAGAATCATTTGGAGGTCATTTCCTCTCAGTAATTCTAATCACTGTCACACGTTCAATTTTGAGCACAGAACAAACACAAACACTTTGTTATTGCCCCAAAAAAAGCCTTCTACTGAGACAAATCACTGAGCAGTTCTCAACACAAGGACCCTCAGAATGGCAGGTGCTCTGAACTGCTCTGCTGATGGAGAGTTCTGGCTGCACTGATGGGTTCACACTGCCTCACCTGGTCTTCCTTGTGACAATGGCCAACAGTGGGAGAGTTAATCTCGCCCTAGGTAGGGTGGGAGTTTGAGGCCCAAATCACCCCCAACACCAAAAATGCTCATTAACTCCCCAATATAATCAACTATAGAAGAGATGGCAAACTGCAACATGTTAGCAATTAATATGCCATAAAATCTGGCTTCTGTTTCTTCCTCTTATTAGCTATCTGACTTTGTGTAAGTCACTGACTCAGAGATTCACTATACTTAGGTGAAAAAGAAAACAGCAATTTCTTCTCTGCCTTCCGCACAGGGTAGAGGTGAGAATCAAATGAGACAAACCTTATACTACATGAATATAAATAATGTTTCTAAGTTCTTGGGAAAGCTAAGCAAAAATTATTATAGTTTAGTTTTTTAAAATTTTTTGACACAATCAAACTTCACCTATAAAAAGTAGGGGACTTTCAAAACTGAAAAGAATTAATATCACTTAGAATGTGATATTTTATATATATTTATCAGTCTTTGATTGTCTATCTTTTCCCTGGTTTATCACTTTGTTTTATTTTACACTTCTGGTTATAACTTAATATTCTGGCTTATTTTTCATGTCAAGAATTCTGAAAACAATTGATCAGAGGACTATCTCTTGCCATCAAAAGTAAAGGTACTTTATAAAATTTGTGTGAGATTCTCACACAATCAATAAAGCTCTGCAATGAAATAAATACTTCATTTCTTTAAAAGAAATATGTAAGACTCTACAGTCCACAGTCAAGTAGCCTCTTTTTGTTTTATCCATGACACTTCAGCTTTTATATATTTGTCTGATGAGTGACATTTATATTCATTTACCTGGGCTCTCTGCCACTAAATATCTTTTGAGACTATAGGAAAAAGAAAATTCTGCAAAGGATAATCTTACATTGTAAATGACAGTAACAACACTACAAGCAAGAAGATTCACTGGAACTGCTGACTTTTAAAGGGGGGAGAACCTTTGTAGGTTGAGAGTAGTTTTAGCAGAAATGTCCTCCTGTCCCCATCACTGGACTGGACTGGGTGACCCTCCACGTTCTTCCTCAGTACCCAGGCAGTGCTCTACCATCATCAAGTCAAACTATTTTGCAACTGCCTTTTGGCTTATTTGTCTTCTTCCTTGAGCACGGGGCTACATTTATGGTTTTGTATCCTCAGCACTTAATAATGTTTTTATTATTATGTCCCACAGCAGGTACATAAATATTTGATTAATGGATGAGTCTTTATCTTGATTTAATGGACCTCATCCTGCTGGACAACTAAGCCTGATATCTGGGAGTCATTTTTAACTCCTCGCATCACTTTCAATTAATTTCCAAGCCCTATACATTTTCCTTCTCAAACATATCTTGGACCGGTCCTCTCCACTGACTTAGCCCTTAGGTCCTCACCATCTGTTGCCTAGACCTTTTTCCTTCTGACTGGTCTAAGTGGTCTCTCTCCTCCATTTGCTCTCTTTGCCAGACCATTCTCCACTCTAAAGAGTTAATGTTCTATAAAATGAATCCAATGATGTCATTCCTTTTAAGAACTTTAGTAATTCTCCAGTATACAGAAGATGTATACTGGCGTATAATTTCTTAGCATTACACAGAAGATCGTTCGATATCAGGCCCCAAACTCTATTATCCAGCCTCTATACTTTTAACTCCTCTGCTCCAACATGCCTTTTATAGCTTACTCTAATGCTTCTTCCACCATCGTCCCCAGCACATTATGCTTCACATAGACTGGATCATTCTCTGAATGTTGCTTCAAGCCTTCAAGACTTTACATACCTATAACCCTTTATGTAGCAAGTCCTTCCAAATTCTCTGCCTGGAAAACTGATACCAATCATTCAAGATCCAGTTCGGGCGTGTCTGGGAACTCTTGTCTGACTTCCTCACACAGTCTATCACTCTCTTTTTTCCTACAGCACTGGCTTTTTTTTTTTGGTTTTTTGAGGAAGATTCACCCTGAGCTAACATCTGTGCCCATTTTCCTCCATTCTGTACGTGCGTTGCTGCCACAGTATGGCTGACAAGTGGTATAGGTCCACACTTGGGTTTCAAACCCACGAACCCAGATTGCCAAAGCAGGGTGCACTGAACTTAACCACTATACCATGGGGCTGGCCCCCGACAGCACGTTTTACATATGTCTGGTGTAGCACTTAGAACATTGTTCTGTGGTTATATAAGTGCTTCTCTGTTCCATAGGAAAAATTAAAGAAAAGATAGTATTCTTATTTGTGCCTCCGAGGGCCTACCATACTGTGGTACACAGTGGAGCCATAATAAGCGTTTAAATGAATGAATTCCTTATTTTTGTTTCTCATGCCAGCTGCCTCCCTTTCACTGCTCTGGTCTCCATCTTGCATACCTATTCTCCACCACTATTATTGCTATTTGTGGACCCTGGCTTGTGCTTCATGTCCCTGTCATTGTCCTATTCCCTACCTCTATCACTTGAGGCCATAGGTGGTAAGCAAAACTCACTACTAATGCTGCCAGGGTAGTGACAAGTGGAACAGTAGGTCCATAAAATAGTACTTCAAACTGAGCATCTCAATATTCAGCATGAATATACTTGTATTCTAGTTAAGATTTTCCAAGAAAAATTCTAAATAATCAGCATTAACCCAATTTGAGGAGACAAAAGTCTGAATAAATAACATGAACCTCAAAGAGAATACAGTTGTAGTTCCTACAGCAAAAGAAAAAGGGAGGGGGGAAGGATCCTCTGTGGACTAAGACCTCTAGACTAAGCACAGGCTATAGCTCCAAAAACGTTTCTGTGATGCTAATATTTGTTATGTACAAAAGATGAACTCCCTTCATTTCCAAACTCAGAGATCATCACACAACTACCCCCAAATACACACACACACACACACACACACAAAATGTGTAGAAACTGCTATTAAATGGCAACTATCAATTGAAGAAACTACTACAATCAACGGTTCTTTGGTAGCTATTCAATAATTGTCGCTCCTCTAGATGCTTCTTCCCAGTGTGTTTTTCCAATATTTACCTGAAGTTTTTTAATGACTGCTTCAATCTGTTCAGAAAAGTGAGTAGCAACCAGCTCTGCAGCTTTACAGGGCTTTAGGGACACCAGTTCCTGGAGTGAAAGAAAAAGATAAAATGATTCTTACGGTTAAATTTAAACAGAATTTCCACAGATGTGGAGCACGATCACCTACCTCAATATTTTCATGAGCTTCTACACTGCATTTCGGGAGACCTTGATATAGGGCCTCAATTTAAAGGCACATTGCAAATGAGCAAAATTAGAAAAATGCCATATAAAAAATCAGGTTTTGATATAAAAGGTAATTCAGAATTCTTAGAAAATGAAAGTACTCAAACTCTGGATCTAGGCCATGACATCTACAGGATGAACAGAAGGAACAGAAGCTTCCCAAACTCCCTATGAGTGAATTTCACCCTTGAGCTTAAAATAATAATTTGAAGAAATGAAAAAAAAAGTATAGTTGCAATTTTTCTGGCTAAGAGTTCTAAAATTTTACTTCTGATGCTTGGTGGATTTTGAAACTAGAATTGTCTTAAGAAATCAACTAAGGTCATAAGTCTTAAATGAGACTAAGAGGTTGACCACTGTTAACCACTGTTAATAAGACCTATTTCTATCAAGTCTAAGACTTCCAATCTGCCCTTTCCTTGAACTTTCCCAGACACTACTGGCTGTCCTTTTCTTCCTGAAACTCTCTTCTTACTTGGTTTCTGTGACCTGCTATCCTACCTTTCCAACTGCATGTTATATGGCTGAAAGGCAAAGACCCACTATAGATCAACATAGTATACTATCAAAAAAAAATTCGTTAACTTATTGTGACTGCAATATTCATGATATATCTAACAATTGAGTGTTAGTATTTGTAGATTAATAAGTTGCTGACACAAATAACTGTAGTTTATACTGCTTTTATACATCTCAAAACAGAGAAGGCACCACTAATCAATATCACAAATGAAAAAGGGGGTATTATCACTCGTCTGCAGACATTAGAAAGATAGGAAACTATTATGAATTAATAGAGGTCAAGAACTTGAAAATGTAGACAAGATGGATAAATTCTTAGAAAATATAATTAATAAACTGACCTAAGAAATAGATAACCTGCATTAATTTTTAACCATTAAAGAAATTTAGTGAACAGTCAAAAATCTTTCCATATGGAAAACACCAGTCTCAAATAGCTTCACTGCTAAGTTCTAGGAACCAGTGAAGGAAGAAATTATTCCAACATTAATTAACCTCTTACAGAGATAGAAAAAAGGAAACTTCCTCAGCTTGTATGAGGCTAGCAAAATTTTTTAAAATATCATTAGCAATAGCATTTTTATGCTAAAAAATATAAAGTTGTGACAGTAAACCTAACAAAGGATGGAAAATCTCTACAGAGAAAATTATAAAACTTTATAGAAAGATATTGAATAAAGGGTTATACCATATGGTCACAGATCGGAAGACTCAGTATTGCAAAGATGTCAATTAAATTCCAAGAGATTGAGAGATTTAATGCAATCCCTGTCAGAATCATAAGGTTAAGAAAATTTTTTTGGTGGAACTTGACAAAGTGATTCTAAAACGTACTTGGAAGTATAAAAGGTCGAGAGCACCAATATTCTCTTAAAGATATCAAGAGTTATTATAAAGCAACAATATTTAAAATAGCATGGTACCGATACAGAGACAAATGGACCAAGGAAACAGAAGAGGGCCCAGAAAAACAGACCAAACATACAGATCCTTGACATACTTATGACAAAGCAGCTCTGCTGAGCGACGGGGAAGGCGACCTTTTAAAGCAACTGTTGCTGGGAAAATTGGGAAAACTGGGCATCTCTATTTAAAAAAATTAATTGGACGCCCCCCCCCCCCCCCCCCCCCCCCCCCCGTACCATATAGAAAAACTGCTTTCAGGTGGACCTAAGATTTAAAGATTAAAAAAACCAAGAAAGCATTTAGACAATAATATAGGAGAACTTCTCCTTCAGGATAGAAGGGAAAAAATTATCATTTTGATGACATCAAAAGAAAAAACAACAAAAACCAACTTTTCTTAAAAAGAACCATAGAAAAAAGCCAGAGTGGGAGAAGATATTCACAACACATGTCTCTGAAAGACTAAGATCCAGGGTACACAAAGAACTCCTACAAATCAGTAAGTACAAAAGAGATTCCAGCAGAAAAATGGGCAAAAGACTTCAACAGGCACATCACAGAAAGGAAATTTAAACGGCCAATAAACGTGGAAAGGCCACCAATCTCATTAATAATTAAGGATATGTAAATTTAAAACATAATGAAATATCATTACACATCCACTAGACTGACATAATTTTAAAGCCTAGCAAAGAAATGGAGTCAATGGAAAATCTCACACAATGCCGGCATCTGGTAAAGTTTAAGATATTTATCCCAATTAACCGGCAATTACAGACCCTAGAGCAGGGCTTATCAAATTTAGCACACGTCAAAAGCACCTGGAGCGGTTTTAGACCATACTGCTGGGGCCCACCTCCAGAGCTTCTGATTCAGTAGGTCTGGGGTGAAGACTGAAACTACATTTCTATCAAGTTCTCAGCTGATGCTGTCAAGCGGGCCTGGGGATCAAACTGAGAACCATGGCCCTAGAAAAATGCACGTGGCTGTGCTGGAGATGCATATAAAGAATGATCATGGATGGACTGTTTCTGATAGTCAAAACCTAGAAACAACTGAAATGTCCATTAACAATAGAATGGATAAACTGTGATAGCCTGTAAAATGGAACAGGATCCAATAAAAATGAACCACAGATACATAGAACAAAATATACAAACTTCTCAAAACATTGAAGAAAAAAATACACAGTATAACTTCATTTACATAAAGCTCAGAAACAGGCAAAACAAAAACATCTATTTTTCTGGATGCAGGCACAAGTAGTAACAAGATATAGAAAGGCAAGAAACTGCCAGAAAAACCAGGATAATGTGAGTATTAGAGGAGGCCGGGGATGGTAATCATGGAAGGACACAGGACGAGTCTAGGGTACTGGAAATAACTCTGTTTCTTGATCTGGGCCTGGGATGTCTGATTTGGAACTTTTTATTAAACTGTACATTTGTTTTATGCACTTTTTTGGATGTCTTTTCTATTTCAAACTAAAAAATATTTTAGAGAATCTAATAAAACACATTTTGCCTACATTGGAAAAACCACCTAAGCTAGAAATTCTTTACCTAGAATCCACAAACCCAATCTAAGAATGGCTTTTAGGGGGCTGTGGATCCCTGAAATTGTAAACAACATTATGTAGCTGAGCACATGCACAATATTACGAGGCACAGGTCCAAATTTTTCATTAGATTCTCAAAAGAGTTCTGTAACTCTGACAGCGTTAGGAACCGCTAATCTATACACTGTGTATACTGTCAGAAAACTTTACTACGAGGATTTTTCTCCCTACATATTTAATGCTGATTTTATTTACATTACTGAAGCCACAGAAGGCCTTCAACAAAAAGTCTATATATTTGTAATCGTGGCCTTAAGAGATATTAAAAAGTTCAAGGTGAAAAAATATGCAGATATGGGAAAAGCAGTCAGCACACAGAACAGTTGTGCAGCAAAAATACTCTTGCTTCTCCAGTATGAGTTTTCTGCCGAGCAATTTGTTTGCTCATTGATTAATTCATCACGTTTCACATTATGTAGAAAGACATAACTTCATTTCTGGATGTCTGGAGTCCATTTGCTGAAACCACTGCATAATGCAGATGAAGAGAAATGAAGAATGGGCCATAATGTAACTATGGAGACTTGAAGGGGATGATGAAAGGAAAAAGAATACAAAATGATTAAAGGAAAAAAGAGACAACTCGAAATAGGAGAAGTTTTCTTGGGTTCTTTCACCAGGATATATTCATTTTGTTGTTAGCAGGAGTATGATAATGTTAAATAACATATATATGTTCTCAATCCTGTAGATGAAAGTCTGGAAATTACTTCAGACCACACATCTGATCACTGACTGCACCACCTTTCACACCAGATGTTTCACATAAGATGCTGTTCACATTTCTGATCTTTCTACACTTTACAACCAGCAGGAACCAGAACAAAGTATTCATATCACATGCAGTATTTTCTTCGAGTTTCAGAGCTCATACTTTCTTACCATTTTTCAAATGTATAAAAATTTAAAACACGTTGAATAATCATATCTTTCACTACATCTCTAAACCCATCACCAGAGGCTACCCCATCACCTGATCTTTGCTACAAGGAGGAGAGAACCTTTGTAGATCCAAAAGTAAGAGTACCTCAGAATCTTTCGTTACTGTTTTCTTTTTTTTCAATAATCAGTGACCCATAAGACAGAATAGATTTCAGCACACCTGCCAGCTCTGTTGGTCTCTGAGGTACATTGTATGTTATGAACCTAAGGAAACTAAAGTGAGGAGTGCTTTGGGGTCCCTTTTCATAATGCATTCTGATCACATGTTCATCACACATGTACTGGTCTCTCCATTTAGGCATCTATAAGCATGGTTTTTAAAAAAGAACTTTTTGTTTCCAAGGAAATTCTTGCATTCTTGTAAAACAGCATGCATAAACAAAATCAGAATCATCATCCTGTTACCTAAGAAAAGGAAATACATCACAGAGAACAACTCACTGCAGTACGGTTTCTAAAATTCCATTGGGAGATTAGGGAGAATGGCTCCTAGCATGTGTTAGGGAAAAAGACCAGTAGTACTCTCAGAATCATTCTGTAGATTAGAACACTGTAAAAACCCACTAATATTCCAGCTTCTCAACTAGCTGATTGAACATGGGTTATTTTCATAAGTCATGATATAATAAATTGATTATCACATAGGCCTTACAAATACAAATATGAAGTGGAATAAATTATATGAAAAAGATGTTAATCCTCAAATAAATCAACTTAATAATATGACACCTGTCATTGCTTAGGTAGCAAAAAGTTAATTTGGGAGATATCCATTCAAATGGGCAAATTTAAAAAGTTCTGTGGAATCAGCACCTCAATATGATCCATTGCTTTCTGCCATACAGACTGCTTCTCCTCTGCACTGTGTCCAGGAATGGATAAGATATTGTGAATGTAGTTGAAGACTTCTTCCTAAAGAGCACAGACAACATAATTTATTAATTCATTCACTCAAACAATATTTAGTTTTCTATTCAGTTCCTTCAACATGTCAAAATTTTTACCCACTTCAGGGCCTTTGCATACACTGTTCTCTATCCTGAAACACTTTTCCATTGGCTTTTTGCTTGACTAACTTCTCACATTCCAAAAGTCAGTTTATATGCCACTTTCTCTGAGATTTCTTCCCTGGCTGCTCTGTATACGTCAGTTCCCCCATTATCCTCTAAAGTTGCACCCAGTTTCTCTTCTCTAGCACTCATCACAATTTGTAATTACAGTAGTGCCCCCTTATCCATGTGGGATATGTTCCAAGACTCCCAGTGGATGCCTGAAACCATAGACAGTATTGAATCCTACATATACTGTGTTTTTTCCTATACATATATATAATAAAGTTTAATTTATAAATTAGGCATAGTAAGAGATTAATAATAACTAATGATAACATAGAACAATTATAACAACATACTGTAATAAAAGTTACCATAGATCTTAGCAAATTCAAAGTATGACTTTTTCATTCCTTATTAAGTTGAGCACTTTCACCTTTTCATTTAAAGGAAGCACTTTACGGCTTCTCTTCAAATTGCCAGCATCTACTCTTGCGCTTTGGAGTCATTATTAAGTAAAATAAGGGTTAGTGGAACACCAGCACTGTGATAGCACAACAGTAGATGAATGGGTGAGTAGCCATACAGCCAGTGTGGACATGCTGGACAAAGGGATGACTCACGGCCCTGGGCAGGACACCACGAGATTTCATCACGCTACTTAGAAAGGCATGCAATTTAAAACTTATGAATTGTTTATTTCTGTAATTTTCCATCTAATATTTTCAGACCACAGTTGATCATAAGCAACTGAAACCACAGACAGCAAAACCGTGAACGGGTGGACTACTGTGTATATTTGGTTTTCTTACTGTCAGGTCACTGTCACTAAACTATAACTTCTAAAACTGCAGGAACTCTATCTGTTTTACGTATAAATGTATACTTGGCTAGTAGGAGGCACTCAAAATAAAACCTGTTGAAGAAAACCTTGAATCAGCAAACACATGTCCAAATATTTCTACTGGATAATTATACTTACTGAATAGTTATTTCTACTCGGTAAGGGAGTGCTGAGTAAAAAAAAAGGGGAAAATAGTCTCTTAACTCACCTCTCTTAGTGGGTCACGTAAGTAGCAATCAATAATTTTGTCATATTGGTGTTCTCGTTCATACATAAACTCACAAATTTGATAGCTACAACACAAAAGGGAAAACTTCAGTGTACCCAAACAGGCAGGTGGTTATTAGCTTACCATTTCAAGAAGTTGCTTAGGTATAGAGGTTAGTATTAATTAAAATTACTATAATGGATGTGATTTCTACTGTTCAATGAAGTTATACTACTTAAGGGAGATGAGTATCTGTCATTCCCCTAAATCTAGGTTTAAGATGCTGCTGAATACCATGTTTATAAGAAATTTCAAAGCTGGGTACCAAATAAATGTTAAAGCAACCATGTGTCACATAAAAAATAGTTAATATATTAGATATCAATTAAGTTTTTCTGTTCAGAATTAAATATGTCAAATGAAATAGTTAACAAACTAGATAAACAGTAGTACTAACATACTACATCTTATTTGCTATGTTAAATTCTGCATTGTTTATAACATATAAAAATAACTGTCAAAAATCTATGAAATACCATGGAAATTTTAAGTAAAAAAACCTAAAGTAATAAATCATAAGACTGCCACTTCATTTTCATACTAAAACAAATGTACAAACACTTTAAATTTACTTGCTGTTAATTTCTGCAAATTTTACTAATTTCTAGACTTGAAAGGCAAAAACTTTCATACTTAGGTTTTTTGTTGTTATTTGCACAGCCTTTCTTAATTAAGAAAACAGCAATGTGTCAATAAACTGGGCTTCAAGTTAGAGAAAGGCAATTTAATAGTTTTATGGGAACTAAAATTTGGCTTCAAAACAACTTACAACTCTGCTTTTTCTGCCATACGGATGAGCCGACTCTCTTCAAATTGGACTATGCCTCCAGCTTGCAGCAATTCTAAAAGGACCTGAACATTTAAAATAAATGAGTAAAAATACTGGAATCTACTTTTATTTACTAGCTCTTTAAGAGTCCATTCAGCCACACCACCCCTAACTTTTTTCCTTTTGTCTTATTACTTGCTCATGTTTCGGCCTGGCTTTCACATATAAAAGGGGTTAGACTGACATTAAAATGTTGACCATATCGTATTTAAGTCTTATAAAAAGATAAACGGATCTATCTTTCAAACATGGAAGTAATGCCACAGTGTTTGGAAATAAAGCCTAACTAGAATATCTGACTGACCCTCCACTGAGCTAAAAATGTCCATATATATTCTTTCAAGAAGTATATTTTTGTCTGGCTTTTATGTCTTATGGTGCTTTAAAATCTGTTGTTCACAGGTAGTATCCATGTTAATTTTTCTAATTAAACATTGGTGTTTTTCATAGTAGCATTATTTGCAAGAGCCAAAAGGTGAAAACAACATAAATGTTCATCAATGGGTGAATGCATAAACGAAATACAGTATATACATAGAATATTATTCATCCTTAAAAGGGAATAAAATTCTGACACATGCCACAACACAGATAACCTTAAAAACATCATGCTAAGTGAAATAAGCCAGTCACAGAAGAACAAATACCGTATGATTCCACTTACATGAGGTACCTAGAGCAGCCAAATCCATAGAGACAGAAAGTTGACTGGCAGCAGCCAAGGGTTGGGGGAGGGGATTCTGTGGAGTCATTGTTTAATGGGGACAGAGTTTCAGTTTGGGAAGATAAAGCTCTGGAGATGGATGGTGGTGATGGTTGCATAGCAATGCAATACACTTAACACCACTGAATTGTACACTTAAAATGGTTAAAATGACAAATTTTATGGGATACATATTACCACAATAAAAAACAAACAAAAACATTGGGGTTCATATAATTTTTATCACAACAAGAGGCTGAATAATAAAGGTGACTAGGATCTTGAGATTGATTCATCAATATTTTTAAATAAATCTCAAAATACAATAGAATCATTATATAGTAAATAGAGCAATATGAGAAAGCTCTCTCCTGTATTTAAGTTTAAGACCTAGAATGACATGACGCTTCTCAGAACTCCAGGAAATCATTTAACAAACTATTTCTCTAACACAGGAAATTGATTACTTTCAGGTTAAAAAACAAAAGGCAGAAAAGAAGTAAAACCTATCAAACTTAACATTTCAGAACTCTAATTTAATGTTTTTGAGTACCATAATGTACTGTCATATAGAATAACTGCGGAGTGAACCCCTCCTGCCAGAAGCCTCAATGTGGAATAACATAATAGAAATGCCATTAGCTGGAGCCAGTCTTACAACTCACTGGAGCTGATTTTTAAATTTTCAGGAATTTTTTAAGTTGGATGTTAAATAGAGCCATCGCTAAAAATTAAATTATATAAATTCAAAATTAAACAAATTAAAAACAAAGGTAATACTCCAAAAACTCACTGCTTCCTAATTTTACTACATTTTACTATGTATGCTCTCGAGGTTAGTTTCTGTGATTATATCTACAGGGTGGAAATATTACAAAAACTGTGGTATTGTTTATCTCTTCCAAACTCCGTGTTCAGTGACATCATGTTGGTAAGTTGAAATCAGCTACAGTGGGAGTATTTACACCACGGAAATTGTCAAATGCTATAAATCAGGGCTTGTTACATTTTTAAAGGGTTGTAAAACAAACAAACAAGAACATGTGACTAAGACCACACATGACCTATAAAGCCTAAAATATTTACTCTTTGGCCCCTTACAGAAAAAGTGTGCCAGTCCCTGATTAGGAAAGTGATGGAAATAACATTAATAAGGCAATCAAACTTAAAAGTGTACACGTCATAGTCATTACATTGTGAATAGCACAAAAAAATTAAGAAATTATGTTCCAGTGCAGGTATTCTAAAACTGTTATCAGATTCAGCAAAGCAATCTCTTCATTGATGAACGAGTGAAGTTCTGACATGCTTTCGTGGCTGCACTCTCATCTTATTCATTTACATAAACGAAAATATCAACCGACATTGATATCAGAACTACACTTGGGAAGCCATTGTTAAACTTTTATCAGCACAACACTGGAAAATACTAAAAAATATTGCATAAACAAATTATTATACATAATGAACAGTACAAGAGAAAGAGTGCTGTATTAGAAGGGAAGGAATTGGGTTCTAATCTTAGTTGTGACCTTGGGCAACTTCTTCAGTTTTCTGTATTTTTAAAATGAGTAGGGAAAAAACCTACAAAATCTTAAAGGGGACTCCAGTAATAGAACATTACTATCCTATGATTACTTCTCAAGGTTCAGCTTTTACATTTAGGTTTGGTTTTGATTTTAATTTAGTTGTCTATATAAAAAGTTATTTTATATAGCAATACCATGCATACCAGGATCCACATTTCCTGTCAGTAGAGAAATAGGGGCAAAACGAGAGTCCATGTAGCCATTTGTATTCAATATAATTTAAGAGAGAACCACAATTTTAGCAGCTGTTGTCTTCCCTAAGATAGTCTGCAGCCGTCACTGGGCCACAGCTGTGCAGAGAAAGGGGTCACTCTTGCTATCCCATGTTCTTATTTGAGTCTCAACCTCCCAGCTGGGCACTATTACCATAAAAAATCAGCACAGCTCTCAAAACACTTAATCTTTGTAGCTTATCTGACAGAGTCTGGCTACCAATTTTAAATAGGTTGACTCTCTTAGTGCTCACAATTACAGTGGGTAAGCTTTTAAAGAATCTTCCTCGTAAAATGGACCCTACAGAAAGTGGCATAAGTAGAAAGAGGAGGTGATCGAACAGTTACTATCGCACAGTGACTTGCGGAGGGACAGATGGATTCTGGTCTTCAGAAATGGCCAGCCCTATTGCAGTGGTGCTAGAGAGCACACCCAAAAGTTGAGTGTCTCAATACTCAGGATTCTGCAGCCTTTCTGATTCAGGATCATTGTAGCTAAGAGTGGTTACCAGATTAATGACACTGGTGAGAAGCAGGATACAATAGGTGCCAACTGTTCCTACATAATGGAGAAGGATGAAGTGTTCTCTTTAATGCCATGTTGAATGAAAGACAGGTCCAGTCTGCTTAGAAATTTAGTCTGACATAAGCGCCTTATACATGTACTTCAACCAACCATCCACACTATTTTCTGGTTGTCACTTTCTAGCTTAGCATTAGGGTTTGTCACAAGTCATTTTCACCTTATGTCTCATGAGGTCTAGAATGGAAGGGTTCTTTTGGGCTTACTCTGTCTTCTTTCCCATTCTTTAGCAAAAAGAGTTCTAGTGGTTCATACCTGCTGTCTTTCAGAGTGTCGTGAGTCATCGTCAGGACTACAGAGGAATTCAAGGACCTAGTCAAAGAAAAGGTATTTTTTTATTGGATACCAGCATGCATGCCATAACACTGACATAATGAAAACAACACCTACCCTTTCTATATCACCAACTCATTCACACTCAGCCATAACAAATACCACAGTATACAGTATCTTCCCAGCTGATGGCTCTAGTACATGGCACAGCAGGCTCAGGCACACTAACAATTTAACATGTACCTTGCACACATTTCTTTACTGTGTTTAGAAACATGATTAGAAGGCAGCATCATCTCTATATCTTAACTTTAAGATCCCTGATACCGTGGACCAAGCAGAGCACGGACTTTGTGAAGTCAGGCCACTTGAATTTGAACGCTAACTTTATTAACAATAATAACATTTATTGCTAATAATAGCACTTATTAAGTATGACCTTGGATGAGTGACAACCTCTCCAGGCTTTAGTTTCCTCATCTGCAAAACGGGGGTCACAACTATACTAATTTCAGACCCACTGGGAGCATTAAGTTAATATTACGTATTAAAGCTTTGGAATCGAGTCTGGCACTGTGAAGTGCTCAAGAAATGCTACTCGTTATAAGCAACTTTCTCCAGAAAAAAAGTATTTTCTTTGCCACCTGTGGATTTGTAGGAGATAATTAACTGGGATTTGGAGATATCTTTAGAGCTTCAGAGTCAAAGTCATTTATTTGTAAGTAAATTTAGATTTTCTAAAAGTAATCTTTCCTTCAGATGATCAACATCATAGTATTCCTACCAGTGAGACGGGTGATTCTCACATTGGAAAATTCTTCAGCAAAGAATTCTAGGCAATTTAGAGCAACACAATAATTAAGAGAACAGAATTTCTATAAACCAATCTCCACAAACCACACTCCCATGACACCAAGTTACCAGGCAAAGTCATAGTATCCAGATATATTATTCTGTAAACAACATACAATTTAGATTCAAACTGAAACCCAAACAGGCTTCTCCCTGATAAGAAACTTATCCTATAGGCTGTTTTATTAAGAAACAGTGTAGGGGTTGGCCCCATGGCTGAGTGGTTAAGTTCGCGCGCTCCACTGCAGGCGGCCCAGTGTTTCGTTGGTTCGAATCCTGGGGGCGGACATGGCACTGCTCATCAAACCACGCTGAGGCAGCGTCCCACATGCCACAACTAGAAGGACCCACAACGAAGAATATACAACTATGTACCAGGGGGCTTTGGGAGAAAAAGGAAAAAATAAAAAATCTTTAAAAAAAAAAAAAGAAACAGTGTGATCCAGTGAAGGGTTCTACGAACAGTAAGTAGAGTAAAAACAACTCTAGTTCTCATTGTTAAAGACACTCACCTGATCAAAAAGGGTTCTGTTAACAAACAAAGTATTGTCAGGCTTTGCGAGCTGCCGGGCGAGGAACGTAAAGAGACACCCCACTTGTGAGGGAGTAAAATCAGAATTCTCCACCATAACCTGATGAGCAAAGAGACCATTTATTCAATACACCATCTGGTTTGACACAAAAAATATACAATTAGAAGGAGGGGGGATGTCTCATTACTGAAGACTCATGAAAAGATTCTTTTACTGACTGTGCAACAACTCAATAAAAGAGCTCAATACCATTGAGAGAAGGAGCACAACTACTCACACACTCTGAAAGGAAAACATGTTAGCGATTTTGGGCATGTTTCTAGGCATGACTCAGATGAGAACTGAATTGTTAGAGAGGTGGATTTCAAAGAAATATTGATCATGTTTCCCTCTTGAATTCTTAAAAGAGAATCCTACTCAAATTAATTTACAGTAAATTAATAACCCTCTTAAAAATCTGCCCACTAACACAGGAAGAAGGAAGTTGCTTTGGGGTTTAAAAGATAACTTGAGAGGGGCTGGCCCCGTGGCTGAGTGGTTAAGTTCTCGCGCTCTGCTGCAGGAGGCCCAGTGTTTCGTTGGTTCGAATCCTGGGCGCGGACATGGCATTGCTCATCAAACCACGCTGAGGCAGCATCCCACATGCCACAACTAGAATGACCCACAGCGAAGAATATACAACTATGTACCGGGGGGCTTTGGGGAGAAAAAGGAAAAAAATAAAATCATTAAAAAAAAAAAAAAAAAAGATAACTTGAGAGTAAAAGCATCCCAGAAAAGAAGTCAGCTAGCCCACGAATCAATGAAGGAAATGGCTTCTGCCTTGTCTATAAACAGTTTCTTGAACAGATGGCTTCATGTAACAGGCTTTTTACAGCCACACACAGTTATCAAATCATAATCATTCCCCTGCTTTAAGAGAGCTCTTATCTCCAGAGTACCTACTATGTGTAAGATGCTATGGCAGACACATTCAAGGGAATTATCAATGAGACAGGAAGGTGAGACAGGTAAATGAATCTTAAAAGGCATACTGTGATCAACACTATTACAGAGGAACAAATGACTACAGAAGCACACTGGGGTAAATTCACTTCAACTGGTTAGACAGGGAACTTGAAAAGAAATGAGAAAAGTAGCTTTTAAATTAAGCTTTAAAGCCCATGAGGAACCCGTGATGGGGAAATGGCAGGAGAGAGAGCAATCCAGGCAGAGGAAGAGTGAGCAAAAGCATGGACACAGGAAAACACCGTTTGCTTAGAGAAACTATGTGTTTCATTAGAATGCAGAGCATGCATGCAGAGGAGGCAGAAATTCGATACAAAAAGATTAGGCCTCAAATGTCATTCCAAGGAATTTAGAATTTATTCCATCACAAACTGGGGAGAGACTAAAGGCGTTCAATCAGGAAAGTTGATCACGATCAGTATTGTGCTGAGGTAAAACTATCCTGTCAGCAGTGTGAAGGATAAAATAACAGAGGAAGACCGAAAAGGTGAGAGACCAAGATGCATGTGACTGCAGGGGTCCAAGGGAGAGACAGACGGGTTCTGACCAGGGCAGAGACAAGGAAAACGGAAGGAGGAGCAGGTGCAAAAGACACTGCAGAGAGAGAGGAGACAGGACAAGTATTCATATGTGTGGAAATATGTGGCTAAAGGAGGAATAAAAAATAGATCTTGAGCCTGACAGGCAGGTAGGATAATGATGCCATTAACAAAGAGAGAATGCAGAAGTTTGAGAAAGGATCATGTACTGTTTTGGACTTACTGGATCTATGGCAGCAACCCCACAACAAATTAGGGAACAGCACCCTGTCTCATCTACGGCAAAGACCTAAGTTCCCTCCCTCCATCCTCTATTCAAAGATAAACATTTCTCCTATTATAAAGCATTCCCTGGGGGCTGGCTTTTGGCCTACCTCTTCTTACTGTGCTAGTCATATATACACTTCTTTCACCCTTCCTGCTTTTAGCCCAGCAATCACAGCTTGCTCAAGTGCATAATCAGTCATTTCTAAGAGCGTGAGGATATTTCAAGTTGTAATCTGTGAGTGTGTCTCTAAATTCCAACTGATCATATTCAAAGAGCTTTCTACAGCTTTAGAATACTCAGTCATCACTCTCTTCCAGTGTGCGGACCCTTGAGTAGAACTCAACTGCTGGGGCTCAACTAGTGCTTGTCTCTGCTTTTAGCCCTTCCTTTTGCTCTGTAAGCAAACTCCTTAACTGTCTGATCCTAGAAACATCTTTGAAAACAGTTCTAACTCACAGCCAGTTCCCCTGGCACCTCAGCAAGTGTCTAATTGGTTATCACCCTAGAAATTTTGATTTCTCTCCATTTCCTCTCTCCGACCTATTTCAGAGACCATGCTGACAAAATCTGTAGGGCAATCCTGTACAAAGTCACATATTAACAGCCTTTCTCCTCTCTGTCTGCAGCCATTCAGCACACACAATAATGCCTGAGATCTGATGCTCATTCACCTGTTCTCTGGTCACTGCCTATACTCCCACTGTCACTGGCTCCCTCAGAAGTACCCTTTAACAGATTAGTACAACTCTATTACCAGAAATGAGAAAATAATCTCAAAAGTTCATTCTTCATGGACCCAAGGTAAATACTATCAAAACAATATATAAGAGTAGCCATTCCCCAATAGTAAGAACTTAAGTACTTACGGAGATTTCTTCTTTTCATTTGGATCATTCTTCTAACTCAGTATAGTTTTAAATTTAAATTCCAATTCAATCAACTTGAAAACATTTCTTGTATGTCTGCTAAGTTGTGGGCATTGTGCTAGGCACATTCTGGGCATGTTAAAACAATGGGCACCCTCCCCCCCAAAAGTCCTCAGAGTCTATACCTACAGGAAGCTCAAGTCTGGGTAGGAAAATACACATGTAAACAATTACTAAACAGTGTGTCTAGTGTAGCATCAAGTGTTACATGAACACAGAGAAAGGGCAACTAATCAAACTGGAAGTATGGGAGAGGATCCTAAATGAGTTTCTCATGGATGCTATTTGAGTTACATCTTGAAAAATGGTTAGGAATTTGCCAGGCAGAGAAAGGAAAGGAAAAGGCATGACGGGATGAAAGAAAACCTATGCAAAGAATATAAGCCACAAAGATGACAGAGAAAGTTCAGTGAATTCCAACAATTTAGTATGGTTGAGGAGTTCATAACATGGCGGGGCGGTGGTGGGTAGGAGAGAGGAGCAGTTACAGAGAAGTAGTCAGGGACTAAAATATACAGAAGGATCTTGGATGTTACATTAAGCAGTTTATATGGGTACGGAAGAAACTAGTACTTGTGCTCCAACATCTGTTCTTCCCTCCTAACTTAGAAACAGAATTCCTTATTTTGAGCTAAACACATGGTCACCCGTAATACAGAATATATTTCTCAGTCTCTTAGCAGCTAACCTGCCATATATCTAAGTTCTGATCAACACAATATAAGCAGAACTGTTGTAGATAACTTCTAAGAAATTTTCTTAAAGAAAGGAACACTCACTTCTTCACCTCTTTCTGCAGTCAGGCTGGCTAGAAAGCAGAGGTGATGGCTGGAGCCTGAGCAGCCATTTTGAACCAAAAAACAAAAACCATGTACTAAGAATAAGAGCAGTAAGACAGAAGGGATCTGCATCCCTGATAAGTTTGTGAAGCCACTCTACTAAATCAGGTTGCTTATTTCCAGACTTACATGACAAAATAAATTCCCATCACAATCAAACCACTGTTAATTTGAATATTCTCTCACAGCAGAACTTAATTCCAACTGATCTAATGGGAAGCCATAGAAGACTATTAGGTAGAGAAGAGGCAAGATCACAAATTAAACAAGGACAAGATGATGTATCGAGAAACCATTTAGAAAGGTATTTTGGGCATTTAGGTGAAAAATCTCCATATTAACCACCTGGATCAAACTGGCATTATTTGGGAGCTTAGCCATCCTGTTTGTATTTTCATCACTGTCAGTCTTACAAGGTCAATAAATAGCTCAAATGACATAATGTATATAAATGTGCTTTGAAAATTATAAAGAACTATTATAATTGTAATGCATTAATGTTATGCACAGAGAACATTTTAATTTTGGTCTCTTGTCCAAAATAATCTAAAAGTCACTAAGAGGAAGAAATCTCTATTTTATAGCCAAATGAACAGGATGAAAACTCTAAGCTTTCAACTACAAGAAGAAATTGGCCTGGTTGAAGCTGTGCAGATGGAAAGGAAAAAAATCTGTCTCTGCATTCATTCATTAGCAACAGCATGAACCTCAAAATAGCTTTGGACTGAATCTAGTTAGATTCAGACCGGGATGATCGTCTTTGTGTGCCTCAAGTCCTAAGTGTCACCCATCATCTCAGTACAACGGTAAAACTACCTTAGCAACACTGCGATGATGGTATGAGACAGAAGGAGATTATTTACATTAATTGTTTTCTCAAAGCACTCTGAAGTTAGTTTCTATCGTTGCATGTAATCATACTAATGTAGCAATTATCACAATATACTTTTCTCAAGAGTAGTACCCTATATCCTTGTATCAAGTCTAAAGCTGAGAGACATTAAATCTTCTTTGAATGAATGATTAGTATTTCATTCAACTTTTGAAGACAAAGACATCATAATAAAATTTTTAAAAGACTGCAACATATCGCTTCATTAAACAAGATAAATGACTGTAACACAGCACTTCATTAAACAAGATTATTTTAGAACTTGCTATAAAATAATTCAACTTTCTTAATATAAACATCAACACAAAGACATTTTTTCTGAATACTTACTTTCAACAAAATATCCACAATACGTTGTTGATATTCTACGGCTTGCTTGTCATTTTTAAAATCTTCAAAAGTCTAAAAGAGAGAAAGAAAGTTTTAAAAATAATTATTTGTAAATTTTAGAAGGAAAGAAGATATTAAATTCTTATTAATAGTCAAGTAAATTCCCAAATAAGATAATCATTCTTCAGTAGTTTTTTCCTTATATATCTTTAATAACTTATTTTTAGTGAGTTAAGTAGAAAGCTACAACATTTAATATTGCACAGTATTCTGAAACTTTAAAAATAGATAAAAAGCATAAAATATGGTGATTATCAGGCAACCAAAAAGTGATTCAAGAAAGGAAGGCAAAGTTTACAGGCAATGAAAAAGAAAAAACACTAATTGCAAGACACAATTGGTGACCAAGAGTTTGAGAAGGATGAAATACATGTTACATGCTCAGCCATCATTCCATCTGTGCTATTTGGAAATAATAACTGAAATACAGTTTGTGAACTGTCATGAAAAATAATTTTCATAATTTCCGTGACAACTAAGAAAAAATGATGTTCAAAGATAGTTAAAAAAATTATTATGGTAAAATGCCACAATGTTAAAATCCTCAAGCCAACATACAAGGAAAAGGCACCCTATTTTCAAAACACTGCCAAGTACAGGACTTCTTATTTTATGTCCCTGCTCAAGTAGAGCCAAATATATTTTGAATAGAACACGCACCAAAGTAAATGACAGCACCAGATTCTGAAAATACCTAGTACGTACAGGATACACATATGAAGGAGCTGAAATTGTATCCACTACCAAAAAATTCAAATGAAAATGTTTATTGAATAACAAGAATGATGAAAGACAAAGATCTTTCTTATGGTTCTCACTTTGCACATTAGGCTCTTAGAAATATTTAAATCCACACAGCAATAATTTACTGCTTATTTTCCTGAGAAAAGAAAATAGATTACATATTGTCCCAATAGATTAAAAGAAAACAGGAATTTCACAGCCACGAACCTTCAAGACTACATCGAGGTTACATTCAAACCAGAATACTTGCTGTTCTGTAAATTGGCCCTGAAATCCCCCAACTTCTCCAAAGCCCCTTTGCTCACGCTGTTCTCTTATGAGCACGCCTTCTTTCCCTTCTGTCTGACACACAGTAAGTGCTTTAAACAAATGACTGCTGATTTGTCTAGTTAATTACAGAGAAAAAGAAAACCCTTTCCTTTTTTTAATCTTTTTTTCAGCTATACTGGTTTGCTGCCAGTTAGTTGAGATATGCTGAAATGAGTAACCAAGGAGACACAGGAACTCTTAATCTGGAAAGCTCAAACAGAAGATACTTTGATGTTTAAGCAGGTTAAATATGACCCCGACTGAAGACAGACAGGGGGACTAGAAAGTCTCTCAGTTGTATCTTCAGGTTTATGAGAACAATAAACACGCACAAGCTCACGCAAACATCCCCCAGCCCAGCCTGCCAAAGTGACATGTCAACTCTGCAGGTACAAACTGAAGGTACTGTCTGCTAATACAAGTGCTATTCAACTAAAACACAAAAACATGGAGAATTAACAGATGCATTAAAATACTACAGCAGTGACAGCAAGGAAAAAAGAATTTCCTTATCCATTTTCCTTTTGATAGCTTGTATTCACTGCTTTGAAACAGATATTGAAAGTTTACTTCTGTAAACATAATTAAGTGGTGATATACTATATTATGAATATTAGGATATTCATAATGACATATTTTGGTTGTAGTTAACAAAATGGCACATCATTGTTAAACCATTATCATTCCACAAAGATGCTTCTAATTGTACAATGCTTGTTAGAGGAATAATACGCAAAGATGTCCTAATGGAGAATGACACAGTTTGCGAAGCACAAAGGTAGACCCAAAACTCAGTCCAAAGTCATCTGGGAATTTTGTCATAAAAGCTTCTTTCCGTAGTCCCTTAAAAATTATTACAGAGTTTCTGTAAGATAATGCTGATTGGCTAAATCCTAATCTAGGGGTCAACAAACATCTCTGAAAAGGGCCAGAGGGAAAATATTTTAGGCTTTGTGGGCTACATGTGGTCTCAACAACATATTCTTCTGTTTTTATAACTCTTAAAAACGTAAAAAATATTCTTAGCTTGCACAGGCAGAGGCCAAATGGAGCAGAACTTGGTCCACAGGCTGTAGTTTGTGGAGCTATGTCCTAACACCTTCACACATCCCCCAACAAGATCTGTGTATGATAAAAAGAGAGCAAAAAGAATCACCCACAACCCAGGCTAATGGGAAAACTAGAAGGACAACAAACACTACAAACTTCAACTTACATAAAAGTGGGAAAATCCACATCCCAAATTAGCAGAGTTGGCTCCAAAGCCTGTAACACCATAAAGAAGTCAGGATAGAACTGGGGAGAAGAAAGGAGGCTGTGACAAGGTTTCACTGGTAGCAGAACACCTATAATACCATTCAATATTCACCTCCAGAAGCAAAGAGAAATCCACTCTGGGTGAGAAAACACTGACATCAGGTCTGAGACCTGGTGGATCAGAGCACAGGCCAACAGGAAGATTAAAGAAGGGGTCTGGCAAGTGTGGATCAGAGGTCTTGGTAAGATATGGCTTTTGGGATAGAGGAGGTACTTTGGAATGGGGAATTATTCATGGTAAAGAAGGAGGTGGCTCAAGATAAAGATCCTAACTAAAACAAGATAATGTCAAAGATTGAGAAGATGACAGACTACCTTCAAAAGACACAGGGTTTGCAGGTTTAGAAACTAGGCATGGATCTGCACACCACTCGTCAAGCCATGCTGTGGCGGCAACCCACATACAAAATAGAAGAAGACTGGCATAGATGTTAGCTCAGGGACAATCTTCCTCACCAAAAAAAAGAAAAGAAAAAGAAAAAAAAGAAATTGTAGTTAATTGTAGCAAATGGAGAAGTCACTTGAACTAGGAAAACAAGTATGCAATTTTCCTCCACTCTCCAACAAAGTCACCTATTATTGCTAGTCCAGAAAAATCCAACACAAAAAATGAGAATCAAAACAGCAGATGCAGGCACTCCAGAATAACACAAAATAAAAACTAGCTACAAGATAGAAGTAAACTATAACGTTATCCCAATATATATTAAATATATTTAAACATACAACTGCAGATTTGAAAGAGTATCACAGAAATTTAAGAATTCAGGAAAGAAATGCACAAAAAGCAGAAAGATACAAACTAGGAGCTAACTGAACTCAGAAAAAAAAAACTGAAAAAAAAGACAAAGTCATCTCAAAATGAAGACAGATTTACAAGCCACCAAGGGAGAAGAGATATGATCAAAAGCACTGTAAGAGAAATAGAGAATGTAAGTGAAAAGAACCAAGAAAATGAAATTTGAATAAAGAAGTAAAAGAGATCAGAGAATAGGTGATAAATACAGACGATAAAGAAGACACAATACAAAAATAGTTGGAGTTTCTGAAGATGAAATATAAAATACAGTCATGCACCACATAACAACGTTTTGGTCAAGACCAGACCACATATACGAGGGTGGTGCCATAAGATTAGAATCATTTAGCTCAGGTGTACAGTAGGCTATACCACATCTAGGTTTGTGTAAGTACACTCTACGATATTTGCACAATGAAATCACCTAACGATGCATTTCTCAGAATGTATCCCTGTCATTAAGCCATGCATGACCACAATAAAGCAGAAAAAGTATTCAAATTGAAGAAAACTTTCTTGAAATAAAAAGACTTAAATTCACATATTGAAAGAGTCAACAGTATATAGAGTAAAACTGACCCAGAAAGTCAATTCTGAGTGATATCTTAGAGTAAAACTATTATTTTAAATATAAGGAAAAAAGTATGCTGGTTCCGTAGGAAAAAAGACTGTGTCCCTGGGAAAGTAAAGAAAAATCAGGCTAACATCAGTTTTCTTGACAGCAATGTACAAAGCAAGGTAAGAGGGAGGCAATTTTTGTTTTAATTTATCAAAATTTGAAAATTGTACAATAGTAGACAAAACATTACATTGAATCCTCATCACTCAGAAAAGTACACTGAAAACTACAAAATATTGCTGAGAAAAATTAAAGATGACCTAAATAAATGGAACAATATACCTTTTCATGGGTCAGAAAACTCAATATTGCTAAGATGTCAATTCTCAAATTGACTAAATATTAAATACAATCCTACTCAAAATTCCAGCAGGCTTTTGTAGAAATTAACAAGATAACTCTTCTATTCATATTGAAAAGCAAAAAACCTACAAAAGACAAAGCAATTTTGAAGAACAAAAATATGGGGAGCTAACGTAATGTGATTTCCATACTCATAAAGCTACAGAAATCAAAACAGTATGATAGTATTGGCATGAAGACAGACAAACGGACGAATGGCATAGAACAGAATTCAGAAGTAGACCCACACATATTCAGATAATAAATCTCTGACAAAGTACAAAGACAATTCAGCAAAGAAAGGACAGTCTTTTCATTAAATGGTGCTGTAAGAGCTGGATATCCATATGCCAAAAAAACCCACAAAAACTTGCATCTAAACCTTGCATTACATGCAAAAATTTCTTCAAAATGGATCATAGATCTAAATGTAAAACCCAAAACCATAAAACTTCTAAAAGAAAACATAAGAGAAAATCTTTGCAACCTTGGGTTAGGCAAACATTTCTTAGATACGACATCAAAAGCATGAATCACAAAACAAAACTGATAAATTAGATGATTAAAATTTAAAACTTCTGCTATTCAAAAGACATTGTTAGGAGAATGAAAAGATAAACCACACACTGGGAGAAAACATTTGCAAGGCTTACGTAATATGATAAAGAACTTGTATTTAGAATTTATAAAGAACTCTCAAAACTCAACAAGAAAAACACAATTTAAAAAAATGGGCGAAAAATTTAAACAGATATTTTACCAATATATGGATGGCAAACATATCTTCTTGGCTAACATATTTTAATAAAAAGATGTTTAAAATCATTAGTCAGAAGGAAAATATAAACTAAAACCACTATGAGATACTACTACACCTATTAGAATGGTCAAATTAAAAAGATGGACCCTACCAAGTGTTGTGAGAAGACGAAGGAAATGCTACTCTCGTATACCACTGGTAGGAATGTAAAATGGTAGAACCACTTTAGAAAACAGTTTCAGTTTCTTACAAAGTAAAATAATACACTTAACAAATAACCCGGCAATTCCATTCTTTGGTATTTACTCAAGAGAAATAAACTTATGTCCACACTAAGGCCTATATGTAAATGTTCATAATAGCTTTATTCATAGTAGCCTAAAACTGGAAACAACCCAAGAATCATCCACTGGTAAATGTATCAACAAACTGTATATCCATAAAATGGAAAATTATAGAGACATAAAAAGAAACCTATTGACACAAGCAACAGCATGGATAAATCGCAAAAGCATTATTTTAAGTGAACGAAGTCAGAAAAAACTACCAAGTTTATGATTCTATTTAAATGACATTCTAGAAAAGGCAAAACTGTAGTGTCAGAAAGTATTGGGACTGACTACAAAACTGCAGAAGTGACCTTTTTGAGGTGATAAAAATGTTCTATATCTAGATCGTAGTAGTGGTTAAAAGATTGTGTATATTTGTCAAACTCTTCTCTTGAAATGAGTGAACTATATTTTGTATAAATCATACTTCAAGAAAGCTAAATTTAAAAACTTTACTTGAAAAAATATTCCTAAATTTAAAAAAGTAGGAAATGTAATTTAAAAATCTGTCACCATTTTTGGGAATGCAGCCAACACTTGGTGCAGGCATGGAAGGAAACCTCCACTTGTCTTCACGGCATTTCAAATTCATTAAATACATACGAGAAGTAATTACTACATCTCCCGACTCCTCACCACACCCTTGTCCCCTCCCCCTATCTCCTGAGCAGCTTGTTTCTCCTTCGATTCCCTACTGAATAAACAAATAAACCACTACATATCCCGTTCACCAAGTCAGGAATCTGGGAATTTTTGATGCTTCTCATTTGTCTTATCCTTCACAGCCAACTGCACAGTAAGCCCTAAATCTTAGGCCGCTATGCCTCCTCAAGTATCTGTGAAACCCTTCACTTCTTAGTACCCCACTGTTACTGCCCGCATTCAAGCCACCATCACCTTCTCTTTAGATTACCACGAAAATTTGCTAATAGATCTTCTTGTCTCCAGTCTTATTTCATTTCAATCCATTTTCCATTCATCAGTCAGAATTTTCTAAACTACAAATCATGATATTCCTCTATGTAAAAAGCTTCAATGGCTACCTGCTGCTCTCGTATAAAGTCCAAACTTCTTACTATGGATTACAAAATTCAGTCTCTGCCTACATCTCTGGAGCTCTCTCTCTCTGCGGGCTTCCTTAAAGATGCAGCCACGCTGAATTTTTCTCAATTCCTTGAACACACACTGCTGTATTGTTTCCAGGTCTTTTTACATATTCTGTCCTTCTGCCTAGAATATCTTTCCCTAACCTAACTTCTACTCATCCTTTGAGACTCAACATGGACATAATTTCACCCAAGAAACCTTCCCTAGCCCTCCATTAGATTCCCCTCCGAGGTGTTGTGCAGCATCCTGCACTTCTCCAATGGCATGTATCCCACTGTGCTACAGTTACTTCTCTACAATCTGGATCCTCTTCCTCCACAAAGGCAGGGTTTCTATCCCGTCAGCCAAGGATGCACCCCCAGAATACAGTACTTGTGATAAACTAGGCACTCACACATTTGTCAAGCAAATGAGAGACTATATTGCGGTTACTATCAATCTCAATATGGTAATTCAGACATCGGCATAATTCCAAATGACCTACAATGCTAACACAGCCCTTAAACAAATGAAAATTAGGTAAAATCAACTGTCGCTCTCTACCACTTTTTCCGAATCCCCTGCCCCACCACTTCCTGTTTCTTTTTTCCTACATGCCAGACACCAAGTACCCTTATGTCCTCTTCTGGATGTCGAAGATCTCCTAAACCAACTAGACCTAATTTCCAGTTCTAAGTTTCTTTTCCCCTCTTCATATGCAATTAAAGTTACTACTTCTGAAGTAAGATTTTAAAATTAAAGTAATTCAAAGTATAATTGGTATCTTAACCTTCTCAGGAGTACTTACTTTTTTTATTTAACAGTTTATTGTTCAACTTATAAAAGTACTATACGGTCCTTAGAGATATTTGCCCCATCTCACAGAGTTAGTCACTATTAATATTTAGGTGTATTTCCTTCCTGTCTTTTTTCTCCTAATACTGTGCATATACATTATTTGTGTGTTCTATACATTTCTGAGCCTCCTGCTTCACTAAACACTATAATATAAGTGCTGTCCATGTTATTGAAAGCTTTTTAGACTATAACTACAAAGCCATTTAATTGAGATGATATATCATGTTTTATATAATTATTCCCCTGGAGGCATTTTCACAGAGAACTTGGCTCACCCAAACCCATCTTTAATTGAACACGTATAAGGATGTTTTTTCAGCAGGGAGCTTCTGTGTTACATTTCAACTCCAGGTATTTCCACTATCACCACCACCACATGTACTTCAGAGCCTTCTTCCATATTTAGTGTGCCAACTAACAGAATTTATAAAATCAAAGATGCACCACATCTAACTCTGCTTTCTTTAACTTTTTGATAAGGATGTATTAGAAAGAGACACAGACACAGAGACACACAGAAAGAGAGAGAAAGAGAGAAAAAGAGACAGAGAGAGAATAAAGAGGGGGAGGAAGGGAGGGAGGGGGAAGGAAGGGGGATAAAGAATTAGAAAATACGGGTGGTACAACAAAATTAAAAATGTAGAAGTTTGAAACCCTGACTTACTGCTAGGGCATAAAAATTATACCTGCATAAGGATTATTACTTGCATTATTTTCTTTCTATTAAAAAATAATCATGCTGGCTTTTTTTTTTTTTTTTTGGTGAGGAAGATTGACCCTGAGCTTAAAAACCGTTGCCAATCTTCCTCTTTTTGCTTAAAGAAGATTGTCGCTGAGCAAACATCTGTGCCAATCTTCCTCTATTTTGCATGTGGGACGCCAACACAGCATGGTTTGATGAGTGGTGTGTAGGTCCATGCCTGGAATCCCCACCCATGAATCCTGAGCCACCAAAATGGAGCACATGAACTTAACCACTATGCCACCAGGCAGGCCCCAACCTGCCTCCTTTTAAAACACATTAAAATCATATCATTTATCTCTTACCAGTGCCAATACATTTAGAAATTCTCTTGTATCAAAATGTAGCAAAGTCCGAACATAGGGATAGATTTCTTCCTCAGGGGATGCTTCTGCTGAGTGCAGGCGAATTAGAAATTCAAAAACCTGCAAGTTGAAAAAAAAAGTTGATTATTTTTTCACCTTACAAAGTATTTTGCCAAAGCAATGATTCCCACCTGGATAAAACAAAGGCAGGTTGAATTTAGTTTAAATTGCTACTATGTTATAACTTCTCTTACCTCATTCAACTACGATTATTGGCCTCAGTAATAGTGTGCAGGCTCTCCTGTCATAGCTAATGGCTCTGGACCGCTGCGTAACCCTCAATTACAATTTGTCTTTAGTGCATCTTAACAAGAGGTGTTGATGGTAAACATGTGGTGAAAACAGCACCAACCTGGTTTTTAACCAAGGGAACAAGATCTTCAGGGATGTCACCAAGGGGATAGGCACGGCCTGCTAGACAACAGCTAGAAGAAAAGAAAGAGAACAGAGTTGGTGACTTATAATGGACTAACTTCCAGGTTGTTTCTCAAACCCAAGACACTAGCTTGATTTTTAAGCAGGCTCAGCTTTTGCCAGTTAGGGCAAGTTCAAACCCAGATCAAGATGACAGCCAGTTCAGAAAACATGGGCGACAGAGATGATAGTGAAGTAACACATCCTGTGACTGAGTAAGGACTTTCATTTCTTCTTATTTTTCCTAAGAAAAACCCAAGTTGCACTCTAAAGGCAAGAGGGAATAAGGACAGACTATCTAAAAGTCTCATACTCAGCATCTAGAAAGAACCTAACAGCACCATTATACTTTGATTTACCTGTTATAAGCCTGATGTTCTCAGAGACTTTTAAACCAGTGGCTCTAAAAATGGTGATTAAAGATGGAAAATGAGCTAGGCTAATAAACATCTGGAAAATGTCTGCAATTGGACAAGCCTTCAGGGAGAGTTAGAATCTCATGAGGAATTTAACTGTACAGTTTTACTTCCAAATCAGATTTTCCTTATGGCTAATGACTTGCCTTGTAGGCTGACATATAAAAATGTCTTCCGAATATGTCCTCACTTTTTATTCATTTATTTTCTTTGAGGGGGGGTGGCATGAATTTTAAAACTATCTGAACTAGTCATCAATTTGAATGTTAGATTAGAGAAGCTGGATACCAGCATATTCTAAGAAGTTTAAAGCACAGATGATAGAGTCCTAGCTAAATGCTGCATATGTTCTGCATCTGTAGAATCAACGTAACAAGTGTGAAATGGATCTCAAAGTTAATTCTGACACTAAATAGGAGCTAAAATGATGCTCTGGCAGGTTCTGCCAACTTCCTGCCTGCCTGCCTGCCAGCCTGGCGGCCAGTTATCTATCCAAAATTCTATCAGGACACAACTCTGAGCCTGCATAGTCTATTGGAAAAAACTCTGGTCCAGGAGCAAAGAGAGAAACATTTCAGCTTTACCTCTGTCACTAACTTTTTCATGATTTAAACAAATCTCTTGCCCTTATATATAAAATAGAGACAACACACATCCCACAGAGTTGTCGGTAGTACAAGTAAAATAATCAGGGTTTCTCAACCTCAGCCCCACTGATATTTTGGGAGAGAGGATTCTTCATTGTGGGGACTACTCTGTGCATTGCAGGATGCTTAGCAACATTCCTGGCTTCTCATTAGATGCCAGGAGCATCTGTCCTCCAGCCCCAGTTGTGACAAGTAAAAATGTCTGAGACATTGTCAAAGTCTGGTGGGTGGGCATGGGGGACAAAATCACCCATGGTTGAGAAGCATGGCTATAAAGGAAAGAACCCCGAAAAATGAAAAGCACTATATACATAAGAGGTGACATTTACAGAAGGAGCATACACACAGAGGAGTAAATAAAAAATCTCTTACCTAATATATACAAGAAGCTTGTTGCCCATAACAACTTGTTCATCTAAAATAGAAAAAGTATCTTAGCAAGTCTCTTTCAAAACCTTTTCAGAAATATAATCTTTATGTGGAAACAAAAAACAAAACCTCCCATTTAAGGTAAGTATATTTCCAAATAGCAGAAAATTGAAATACCACTTTAGTTATTATTTTTAGAATTTCCATTAGATTCTTTTCACAGACACAAAATCAATGAGTCATTCAAGGGTACATGTAGAAGGAACAGATCTGAAGGCAGAGATCTATGTATTGTTGGCTTAACCAACAGCTTGGGACCAGGGGAAGGTGTAGAACAGGCAGTGAGTTGATGAATTATAGACCATGACCAACGAATTAACATTAAGGCATAATTAGAATGTCTTCTCATTTGAAACATGGACTCTGAACCACCTACAGTGCTCTAGAGCTGAGAAGGCCATTGTTCACAAACGTTTAACAGACTTAGATTAAATGACCTTTAGGACGCTTTGCATTCTAAGTTATATCTAAAATGTAAGATTCTATCATCTGGTAATATAAACCTATTTCTTGGTTACAATAAATAGGAAATATAATCAGACCGAGCTTTAGGCCAAGGGGTCAAGAGCAACAGAGAATAGAGTAGAAGCACCAAGAGTGGGTGAAGTGATCAGTACTTCTTATGGTGTGTAGATTATAAGAATTTGTGGTTAGTAATAATGATGAGCTGAACTTTCTATTTTTGATATAGAAATCAGTAATCCTTCACAAATACTCCAAATCTGTGCTATTGTAAGTGAAAATAAACTTGAAATTGGTCAAAATTATATGAATAATTACATCCTGATTCAATTCCAGGTTTTTTAAATTAATAATTTTTTTTAGAGAAGTTTTAATTAGGTTCACAGCAAAACTGAGTAGAAGGTAGAGAGATTTCCCATATACCTGCTATCACACACCACACAACCTCTCCCATCAACATCCCGCACTAGAGGAGTACATTTCCTATAATAAGTGAACCTACATTGATACATCATTATCACTCAAAGTCCATAGTTTACATTAGGGTTCGCTCTTGGTGTTGTACATTCTATGCATTTTGATAAAGGTATAATGACATGTATCCACTGTTATAGTATCATACAGAATAGTTTCACTGCCCTAAAAATCCTGCGCTCTGCCTATTCATCCCTCCATCCCCCCAAGCCCTAGCAAACACTGATCCTTTTACTGTCTCCATAGTTTTGCCTTTTCCACAATGTCCTATAAAAGGAATCATACAGTATGTAGCCTTTTCAGATTGGCTTCTTTCACTTAGTAATACGCATTTAAGTTTCTTCCATGTCTTTTCAGGGCTTGGTGGCTCACTTCTTTTTAGTACTGCATAACACGCCATTGTCTGGATGTACCATAGTTTCTTCATCCATTTACCTACTAAAGAACACCTTGCTTGCTTCCAAGTTTTGGCAATTATGAAGAAGGCTGGTATAAACATTGGTGTGCAGGTTTTTTGTCTGGATATGTTTTCAACTCTGTGGGTCAATACCAAAGAGCACGACTGCTAGATTGTACAGTAAGACTATGTTTAGTTTTGTATGAAACCACCAAACTGTCTTCTACAGTAGCTGTACCATTTTGCGTTCCTATCAGCAATAAATGAGAGTTCCTGTTGCTCCATATCCTAGCCAGAATTTGGTGCTGTCAGTGTTCTAGGTTTTGGCCATTCTAATACGTGTGCATACTGGTATCCCATTGTTGTTTTAACTTGTAATTCCCTAATGATGTTGAATATCTTTTCATATGCTTACTTGCTTACTTGCCATATGTATATCTTCTTTGGTAAGATGTCTGTTCAGATCTCTTGCTCATTTTTAAATCAGGTTGTTCATTTTCTTATTGTTGAGTTTTAAGAGTTCTTTGTATAGTTTGGATAACAGTCTCTTGCAAATATTTTCTCCAAATCTGTGGATTATCTTCTCATTCTCTTGACATTGTCTTTTGCAGAGCAGAAATTTTTAATTTGAATGGACTCCATTATCAATTATTTCTTTCAGGAATGGTACCTTTCTTTCATGGATGGTGTCATATCTAAAAGTTCATCACCATAACCACAGTCAATTAAGTTATCTCCTATATTATCATCTAGATATTTCATAGTTTTGGATTTTACAATTACATCTATGATTCATTTTGAGTTAATTATGTCCTTACTGATTTTCTGCCTGCTGAATCTGTTCACTTCTGATAGAGGGGTGTTAAAGTTTCCAATACTAGATTTATCTAATTCTCCCTGCCATTCTATCAGTTTTTGCCTCACATACTGCTTCACAGGTAGTGCAAGTACCTTGAAATAACAAGATACACCCAATTTCTCCCTCCCATATCTGTATCTTTGCTATCATTCATTTCATTTATACCTATGCATATACACATATGCAAGCATACACAAATACATTGTTGCTATTATTATTTTGAACAAACTGTTACCTGATAGATCAATTAAGAATAAGAAAAATAAAAGTTTTTTTATCTTTACTTATTCATTCTCTGACGCACTTACTTGAACATTTTTTTGCAAGACAATTCTACTGGCAACAAATTCCCTCAATTTTTATTTGTCTGAGAAAGTCTTTGTTTCTTCTTCACTTCTGAAGGATAATTTCACAGGGTGCAAAATTCTGTTAGTGGGTTTTTCTCTCAACACCTTAAATATTTTCCTCCACTCTCTTCTTGCTTGCACAATTTCTGAGAAGTAGAATGCAATTCGCGTTTTTGCTCCTCTATAGGTAAAGTGCTTTTTTCCCCTGGCCTCTTTCAAGATCTTTTCTTTATTTTCTGCAGTTTGGATATGACATGCCTATGTGCAGTTTTTCGCTTTTTATCCTGCTTGGTGTTCACCAAGCTTCCTATGTATCTGTGGTTTGGTGTGTGATATTAAATTGGGGGAAATTCTCAGTCATTATTGCTTCAAATATTGCTTCTGTTCCTTTCTCCCTTTCTTCTCCTTCTGATATTCCAATTACGTGTATGTTACATCTTTTGTAGTTGTCCATTGTTCTTGGATATTCTTTCTTTTCCAGTCTTTTTCTCTTTGCTTTTCACCTTTGAAAGTTTCTATTGTTATGTCCTCATGCCGAGATTCTTTCCTCAGCTGTGTCCAGTCTAGTAACAAGCCCATCAAAGACATTCTCCATTTCTGTTACAGCATTTTTGATGTCTAACATTTCTTTTCGATTCTTTCTTAGAATTTCCATCTCTGTTTATATTATCCATCTTGAGTGTTGTCTACTTTCTCCACTAAAGTCCTTAGCACATTAATCACAGTATTTTTTTAAATTCCTGGTCTGATAATTCCCACATTCCTGCTATATCTAAGTCTGGTTTTAATGCTTAGTCTGTCTCTTCAAACTGTGTTCTTAGCCTTTCGGTATGCCTTGTAATTTTTGAAAGCCACATACGATGCACTAGGTAAAAGGCACTACTGTAAAGAGGCCTTTAGTCACGTGGTGGTAAGCTATGAGGGGAGGCGAAGGATTCTACAGTCTTTTGGTGCCTGTGCTTCTAAGATATGAACCTCATCAGTGCTCCTCAGTTTTTTTTCCTCCTCGTAGGTGGAACAGGATGGGTTGAACATGCTGGGGTTGAGTATTTTCCTTCCCTCAAGTAATTTAGGCTCTGATAAAACCCCAGCAGGTTAAGTTTTGACAAAATAGTTTTTCCTCGGGGCAGACAAAGTTAAGAAAAACAGAATACTCTTGCATATTTCAAAATGGTTCCTTTCCCCTCCCCCTGCAGAAGCACAAGGGATTTTTCTCTGATATTCACTGAGAGAACCTGGTAGCAGTCCTGGAGGGTAAATCTTACAAAATTATGGGGACTCCACTGTGACAGGGCCTCCCTGGAGTTTTTAGATCTCAGACTTGTCTACACTGAGCCTCCAGCAATTCTTCAATTACAGTTCCAGTTTTCCTACCCCAGCACTGGTTCCTGCAGAGGTGTCTACTCCAGTAAGTTGTGATTCTCTGTGCCTGCCTCGCTCTCTAGTTTTTGGTACGGGAGTTTGGTCTGTGACCTCACTTTTCTGGCAGATCTCAGAAGAGTTGCTGATTTTTCAGCTTGTTCACCTGTTTACTTGTTGGTAGGACAGAGTGGTGATTTCTAAGCTCCTTACAAACCAGACTGGAAACCAGAAGTCCTAAACGTTATTTGATTCAACTCAATTAGCATGATACAAGGTGGTAGTCACTTTACTAGTGTAATAAGTTCCTGTTCGTCGGCTAATTAGGTAAACCTTTATTGCTAGAAATCTCAGATAAAATCTCAGATACTTCTAGAGAATTCAATTTACTTGTTTAACATACTCATCTCCCTTATTCCATTGCTATGAATTTAAGGGCAGGAAGCCTGTGTCATCTCTGTTTCCAGCTCTAGCATCCAGCACAGCATCTGGCACATAGTAGGTGCTTAGTAAATGGATACTGAACTGAAGCATATATACCAACAAAGTATTTAATTTTCTTGACCCCTCTTCTACTCCTTTTCTCTCCTCACTATCTTTTTCCAGACAGTTTTCTGTTGCAAAAGTTTATCAATTCCATTTGGAGTTTTCAATATACTGCTTTCATTTCTGCCACAAATATATGTTAAAAACAATTTTCAAGTTTGTTTCAAAAAGATTCATTTCAGGGTTACTATTGGGTGTGAGGGACTATGACTCTGCCAAATGATCCCCCTTGCTCTCAACCTTACAGGAAAAAAACCCCATAAAACCTGGACGTGATACAAAAGTAACTATCTGAAGCTGCTAAAGAGTGAATAGAAGTGGACAAATCTGGTGGGGAGTTCACAGTCACTGGTAGGAGGACAGTGGCAGCCATACAAGTAACTTTTCTTCTTTGTGCCTTTCCCTGGACTAAATGCAGTCTCCACTACACACAGAGGCAGTGGGGGCGGAGGGAGAGGGACGGAAAAACTTCTCATCTTTCTGGCACAGGGGACCAGAAAAGTGAAGCCAGGAAATCATGAATGTGGAAGGAGTAGGGGAAT